TGTAGGGAAGAAGAATAAGCGACCCTGTCCCCAGGCAGTCAGTCCCTGGAGTCAGTTCCTGAAGCAGTTCCTGCTTTTATGGACATATGTGGCATAGACTTTCAGATCCCCACCCTAGCATCTGGACACTAACATCCCAGGTGCTGCCCATGGCCAAGTGCACCCTCTGGGGCCTGTTCATTTCTTCAGACAAATATTAGCATGGCCACAACCCAGTGGTACTTTGAGTACCCTCACTACTACCAGACACATGTTCTTCCTGGCCTTCTGAGATCACTGACCTCTGACTGGTAGGCTTACCTTGTGAAAATATCACCTCCTGCATGAAGTAAAGGCTTGAACTTCAGGACTATAAAGTATACTCAGAAGGTGAAATCCAGAATGACCCTTAATGTTCTAGATGTATCTAAAAGGGTGAGATTGTATCTGATAAGCTCATTCTGTCATATCTTCAGATCTCAGGATAGTTTTCTTAGAGCAGCATTGTCTCATAGCGATGTCAACCTAAAGGACAGACTGAGGCAAAGTAATCAAAGCAAACAGTTTATTTTGGCCAAGTTTGAAAACCACAGTCCAGCACTCAGCTGAGTGGACATACTCAGGTTGCTCTGAACATGTGCACCAAGGTCTTACAGTGCTCAAGCCACTTTTAAAGGCAGATACCACAAACAGGAGGGGATGAGGGAGGAGGGATTATACTAAGTTGTTTTGGGACAATTATTCCGGGCTACTGGGATCAATAACTATGATGGCATCAGTCCAAGGTTGGACAGGCAGTTTCTAGGCAGATGTCCTCCTAGAAGTTGTCCTTGTGTTGAGTTGCAGCAGTCTTTGTACAAGGTTGTGGTTCTGGCAGAGTCCTTGTGACAGTTCTTATTATTAGACATACTAGCTAGTTTGAGAAAACTTCCCCTCCATGGCCTTCTGTAGCTCACTTTAGTTAGGATTTAACACAAATTAAAACAGATGACTCCATTTTGCTTTTGACAAACTTTCACAGTGCTACTCAGGTAATCTTATTTATAATGCCATAGCAGCTAGAGAGGTAGTTCCTAGGACTTTTACCATTTCTTCTGTCCTTTTTATTTTTAATTGCCAGAAGGCACTTGCATGCATATGTGTGTGTGTGTGTGTGTGTGTGTGTGTGTGTGAGAGAGAGAGAGAGAGAGAGAGAGAACTGCCCAGTGGGGCATGGTCATGACACAATCCTTTTTCCTCTATCTTCCTTTCTGTCAGAATTTTGGGCACAAATGCACACATGCCTGGTATGTTTTTCAAGCCACTGGAGCCTGGATTTGAACCATGGTCAGCCATGTGAGATTTAGCCCCCATACATAGCATTTAACCACTGTGCTACAGGGCAAGCCCTCTTCTGTTCCTTTGTAGGAAAGACCTAATTATGAACAGATATGACTCACATTCCTCACTGGGGAACAGCATCCTCCATGACCAGGCCATACCACTCAATAGGATACTGCGAGAACGAGTTACGTCTTCATTTAGCTTTGCTTTAGGGGTTAGAAAACAGGTTATTACCTCTGCAATATGTACCGACATATCTAATGTCAATATTCCAAAATAGAGACCAAGAGGTCCAGTACCCTTGCCCCACCACTGACTCTCCACTCTTCGTGCAAAGCAAACAGTTTATTTTGGCCAAGTTTGAAAACCACAGTCCAGCACTCAGCTGAGTGGACATACTCAGGTTGCTCTGAACATGTGCACCAAGGTCTTACAGTGCTCAAGCCACTTTTAAAGGCAGATACCACAAACAGGAGGGGATGAGGGAGGAGGGATTATACTAAGTTGTTTTGGGACAATTATTCCGGGCTACTGGGATCAATAACTATGATGGCATCAGTCCAAGGTTGGACAGGCAGTTTCTAGGCAGATGTCCTCCTAGAAGTTGTCCTTGTGTTGAGTTGCAGCAGTCTTTGTACAAGGTTGTGGTTCTGGCAGAGTCCTTGTGACAGTTCTTATTATTAGACATACTAGCTAGTTTGAGAAAACTTCCCCTCCATGGCCTTCTGTAGCTCACTTTAGTTAGGATTTAACACAAATTAAAACAGATGACTCCATTTTGCTTTTGACAAACTTTCACAGTGCTACTCAGGTAATCTTATTTATAATGCCATAGCAGCTAGAGAGGTAGTTCCTAGGACTTTTACCATTTCTTCTGTCCTTTTTATTTTTAATTGCCAGAAGGCACTTGCATGCATATGTGTGTGTGTGTGTGTGTGTGTGTGTGTGTGTGTGTGTGTGAGAGAGAGAGAGAGAGAGAGAGAGAACTGCCCAGTGGGGCATGGTCATGACACAATCCTTTTTCCTCTATCTTCCTTTCTGTCAGAATTTTGGGCACAAATGCACACATGCCTGGTATGTTTTTCAAGCCACTGGAGCCTGGATTTGAACCATGGTCAGCCATGTGAGATTTAGCCCCCATACATAGCATTTAACCACTGTGCTACAGGGCAAGCCCTCTTCTGTTCCTTTGTAGGAAAGACCTAATTATGAACAGATATGACTCACATTCCTCACTGGGGAACAGCATCCTCCATGACCAGGCCATACCACTCAATAGGATACTGCGAGAACGAGTTACGTCTTCATTTAGCTTTGCTTTAGGGGTTAGAAAACAGGTTATTACCTCTGCAATATGTACCGACATATCTAATGTCAATATTCCAAAATAGAGACCAAGAGGTCCAGTACCCTTGCCCCACCACTGACTCTCCACTCTTCGTGACAACAGTGTAGGAATAAAGTTGTATGTACCTTTGGAATCAGCACATGCAAAGGTCCAAAGGCATGCCTGCACATGTTCACTGCCTTATGTATTATTGTCTGTTGTAAAAGCAAACTTTATGTCACCCCACGGTCCCCTTGCTGCTTGGACAGGATTTATGCCATGTTAGAGTCACATTGTCAGTTTCTAAGCTACTCATTGTGGGGGCATTGTTGATGAGAGAAGTTCCGAAAATCTATAGAGTTGCTTTGTTTTGTGATGAGAGTCCCATGCTGCCAAATCTTGAGTGAGAGGACCACATCATAGTTCAGCTCTTTCAAATAACAGCTTCTTCATAGCACTAGGCTAGACAAAGCTGGTTGCTTTTCTGTCTGATTTAAGGACACATTTAACTCCCCTACCTAATCTAAAAGATAAAATAGAAGCAAACCACCTATGTTGCTCAGTTTATAACATGTGGAACATGTTTTTGTTTTGTTTTTTTTTCAAGTTCTGTGTACTTTTTTTGTTCCTATTTAAAGCCAGCAGAAGTTGCAGAGAAAATCCCTGAGAAGAAGCAACGCCTGGAAGAGGCCACAACTATCTGCTTGCTCCCTCCTTGTATCTCACCAGTCCCACCCAGCAAGCCTCCAAACATTAAAGAGTGAGTCTGCCCTGTGTATATGTGATGTGTCACTTGATATGATTTTTCCAACACCTAGGAAACCCCAACTGGATTCACTTGGAGGATCCTGTCCCAGAGGGAAGTCAGGTGAAAAACAGGAATCTCTCAGGCTAGGTCTGACCACTGGCCTAACTGCTGATCTAACAAAGGCTGGATAACAGGTGGAACACAGGCTGTCAGATTTTGGTGACTTCATGAGCTTTTTTAGTAACATTTCTTTACTCCAACTGAGATTGATCACCCAAATCAGCCAAAATGAACTTTCAGCACTAAGTGAAGAGCAAAGACATAAATGAATTAAACAGAGGAAGCATCAAGAGAAAACTATCCCTTTAACCAAGACACCTGCTCCTAGCTAAGGCTCACTTCTGATGGTGATTAAGCAATTTCCCTAGAAAAGCAACCCCTTGATCTTGACAGGATGGCACAGCTGCTTCCTCTGTGATGTCATTACTTATCATTAATACAAAGGTTGAGGACCAGTAGCTACATCCTGAACTCCACAGAGGCCAGGGGAATGACACATTTGAGAAGGGAAGAGAGATAAGCTGTCTGGGAGTCACCCTCCCCATGGGGCAGTTCTGTGTCAGGAAAAGCCTGCTAGGGAGGGAGACATTAATTCTGACCAGCTGGCACCACTTTTTCCTCCTCTCTCTGGGTGGAAGTTTCCGGAGTCAGGCAGGAGGCCTCCTGTCCCCTCCTCACTTGAAACAGCATCAGCCTTTCCCAATGAAGTCCTACCCTCTGTTCCTACCAAGTGTTGTGACTGAGTTCTTTCTGTCTTATAAATATCATTTAACTAACAATCATGTCAGCTCCTTGAACCATTCTGTCTGGGTAATTATTGCCATAAATTCATTCAGCATTAGAGATTACTTCCATCAAAGCCCAGTTTTGGAGCCTATTAGCAGCCCAGAGCAGAGAGGCAATCTGGCTAACTGCTGCTAACGATTGATTTCACAGATTACTGTTTAACATCAGTGATATAGCATCAATCTGCCAGAGATAAGATGTTGGAAATAAGTCATCAGCTTACATTTGTCGGAATCCTTGTAGTTTTGAGATGAAAGATTGGAAATGACCAATTACCACCGTTTCTGCTCTATATAACAGAGAGTTCTGAGTCCTAGGCTGCCCCTCTCTGAAAATTACTATCTATTTGTGAGGTGTGTCTGTAGCCATGGTATCACTTTGTTCTAAAACATTCATTCATGTAGTTGGACTTCTCAAAACCAGAAACCCTTCATGTGGAGTAAGCCAACCTTCATCTCAGTTTGGAGCAGGCATGTGAGGAAGCATGCTTCCATCATGGTCAAGCATGGTCATCCAGGGCCCTCTTCCTTTCCAAGCAGGAAAGGCTAAACGGGCAAAGCTATGGTGGAAATACCTCCTCAGTTCCCAGGCTTGGACCAGTTCAGATCACCTGAAGGCAAAAAGAAGTGCCCATAAGCAACTCAGTGATCTGCCACTTTACCGACATTATGATAGAGAGAGGAGACCAAATATTAAGTAAATGTCTACAAATTAGAGTTTGTTCTCATAAAATGGTGTTTTTATTCACTGTCTTTATAGTCTCTCTGCTTTTCAGTAGGTTGGAAAGCAATGTTTTCCCAGTAGTGCTTATCATTCAGAAAATGCTTGAATCAGGTTCAGATGTTCATTAAACAAATTCAAGTTTGGAAAAATCTCTAGAGGTGAGAAAGACTGAAACAGGAACTGACCTCAAAGGGATCTTCCTCTGGGAACCCTCTCCTCAGGCTTTGTCTCTCTGTACTTTGTTGACCCTCAGACCAAATCGTTGGCAATTTCTATGAGACAGCTTTCCCTTTTTTAAATGAATGTTCTGAAGATAGCAAAGATGCCACACCAGACTATGACAGCTGTAGTTCCCCATCATGCAACAGAAGATCCCTGCTGAGCCCTTCCTGTCTTTGGTGCTTTCACCATCATCAAAGCATCTAAGGGAGGACAGAAAATCAGGGCAATGCTTCGCTACTCCCATTCAGTTCCTCAGATGCCCTGTTGATGGTTAAAGTATTGGATGAGGTGCCCAAAGAAGCCAAAACTTTTCTTGTAGTTGGGAGCCATAACAGTGATAGAGTGGTCTCTAGAAAATGCTCCCCATGTGCCTTTCACCAAGGACATCATTAAAGGCCCTGTGGTTCCAAGTAACCACCAGACAGATGGAAGAAGGCTGGGTCACTGGGGCTCACTGCAGAGAATGTACTGAGTCCTTGTTGCTCAGTTCACTTGCGGGAGGAAAAGACTTTGCATGGCTATAATAGCCAATCACAAGTCAATGGCCTCTTGGAAGCAGCTCTTCCCCTTGCAGGCCCACCTCCTTCTTAGGTAGCTTTGGTAGTTTGAGAGTGGTCACACTAATAAACTATTCTTCTGCTGTAGATTCTACAGCAATGATTAGTGTGTGTGTGTGTGTGTGTGTGTGTGTGTGTGTGTGTGTTCCCAAAGGTCTAATGCCTGTGCAATCATTACACTTAATGGGGTCTGATATTTGTAGCGCTCCCTTATGGGCAAGAATCTTAATGCCTATGTTCACCATCATTTTAATCAGGCCCACTACTATCTTAAAATGGTTCTGCATATCAAAGCAGCTTTTAAAATTCACTGGCAAGCATTTTTAAATTAATTTTAATCAATTAAATAATGGCAAAAACAGTTTTTTTCTTTTTATTTCACTGCATGATGAAAATTGACGTGGGCCCATGTTTATGAAACAAAGATGGAGAAAGATGACATATATTATTACAATTGGCAAATTCATGCAACACAGTGGCAGTGGAACACGGAGACTGCATTGACTTCTACCATTTCAGGAAATCAGAGTGCTCGAATGCTTGTTCATCTTTGATTTGTTGCTTTGAAATATTGTAAATCTATATTTCCAGACACTGACTGAAATTGACCAAGAGGAAAACATAAATTCTTGTTGACTTAATTTGCTATTGAAAATTGTAGTCAATAATCATGAAAAGTAAATGGCTGCACAGTGCAATATTAGTTGTCTAAAAAAAGATTAAAATTCGAGTAATCTTCATTGATTAGTCTAAGACAGTAACTAAAATGAAAATCCATGACCCAATTACCATGTTAAGCAGCTAGCATAAGGTTTTAGTTCTGTTTTATTTGAAGTCTCAGTCTATTTCATGGTGCCCATTTTATGGGCAGGTTAATCAGTTTGAAAGCATGGGAGTACTTTTAGGATTGTAAATGTCTAGTGTCAATATGACCAAAGAGTATTTTTTAAATGGAGTTTTACTTTGCAACGTAGAGTACATCAGAACTTCAATATAACAGTTTAAGTTCAGGGTTTATTATGCCTGGGTGTTGGAACATTTCGTACATACTATTTGCAATGTGTCACAATACTATTAAGTGACTCATTTTTAAGTACTGTATCAGCATAGTATTTCATAAGAAAATATCTTTCCACTGATTATTTATTATACCATTTATTGTGTGGTTGTGCAGTTAAGTCTTTGGGCAAAATAAGTAGGAACCATCCAGAAAAATGAGATTAAGGTCTGCATTGTATTTCCTATAGAAATCTAATTAACAGTAATCTTAATAACTTGCAAATATTACACTGCAGTACACGCCACTAGATATTTACATTTATCTTAGAGTTATGTTTCAGAGATATCTGTTTATTCTTGAATACATACATATGCATATATCTGTTTGTATATAGCAGGTTATCTATGTAGTAACACATATCTTTGTCTATATACATTTTTGTATATATATTCTTTACCATAGGTAAAGGTAACAGTAGGTCATTCATTAAAATATTACTTTAGCTGAAAGTATCAGCGTCATGGGGAAGATCAGAATAAAGAAAGGTAAGACTTTGTGACATCCTACACTTCTTGTTTTTGCAGAAATAATTCATCCAGGAGAGCAAACAGAAGAAAAGAAGAAAAGTTGTTCCCACCTCCACTTTCCCCACTGCCTGAAGAGCCTCCACGCCGCAGAAATGTCAGTGGCAATAATGGTCCCTTCAGTCAAGATAAAAGCAACTCCATGACTGGACAAATCCCCTCTACCAAACTCAAGAAAAGTGAAGGCAAATTCTGTGCTACCTTCAAAGGGATACCTGTAAATGTAAGCATCTTGGGAGAAATATTATAATTTTCAGATTAAAAACAAATTTAGCCAGCTCATCTAATTTGGCTTGACCAGAGGGGGATGTTGCAGGTGGAAGAGGCAGAGAGAGAATGTAGTAGTGTCTGTGTGTGTGTGTGTGTGTGTGTGTGTGTGTGTGTGTACAAATACATAAACACTCCATTATTTCTAATATCAATCATTCTGACTCAGAATGAATTTTTCATTTCATCATTTCAGATTAATTCTCTGTTTACTTCCCCCAACAGATTACACATGCAGACTCAGAGCCTTTGGTATCCTTTGGTTTAATCTCTTTATATCTTGTGAGTGAGGAATACCTACCATGGGCCAGATAGTGTGGCCACTAGCTTCACAAATGTGAATTATTTTTTAAAATAGCAACTACATAGGATGAAATTTACAAGACAAATCTGTTATTAAAATCAATTACACAGGGGCCAGCAGGTTGCATGGTGGTTAAGGGCACTAGACTCCCACATGGCCGACTACCATTCAAGTCCTAGACCTGGCAGCTTGCTTTTTCACTTTCTCTCTTCTCTCTCTCCCCTGCCTCCCTTCATCCCAATCACATAGAAATGAATGAATAAATAAAGTTGAATTTAAGAAAGGAAAAAATCAATTACACGATAACAATTCTAAACCCAACTAAAGGATCATTCAGTCCTTTGGATTTTCTGTACTACTGCTTGATTAGCATAGATCATTTTTCATACCCACACACAATGTCTTTTCATCTTTCTCAGGTACAGATACATGAACTGTGGAAGCCACCAGAAACAATGTCACTGGTGAATTCTAATGGCAAATGTATCCCCCTTTCCATGTAAACACATGCATCTAGTCTCCTTTAAATATAAAAAGAAAATGGGTTAAATAGCAATATGTTTTCAAAGGTCTGGTACAAATTAGTGTGCTATAAAACAAAAGTGCCCACCTAATATCCCATAAAAGCCCATCATGCCTCTAAATTTCATTCATTCATTCATTCATTCATTTATTTATTTATTTAGGAGAGGGTTTTGCTATAGGGGGCATGCACTCGCTAGAAAGACAGACAGAGAGACAGAAAGACAGAAAGCGAGAAATCACCCGTGGGGGGGATGGGCACGCACAGACACGCGCCTAGCATGAGTTTAAGCCACCAGGTCCAGGACTCGAACCATGGTCGACTACATGGGAGTCCAGCGACATAGCCATTATGTCATCTGCTGGTCCCAAGGCCTCTGAACTTTAAAGGCTCCAATTTCTAGTCCTCCATCACCTTAGGTGAATGAGATGATATATGTACATAAGTGAACTTCATTGCTGATATAAAGAAATTTCACTAGTGTTAAGTTCTCATTTTTCATATGAAATTAATATGTGTGTGTACACTTATTTGCACACACATTTAAAGATGGTGATTCTATGGTGTTGGAAATTAATCTATTCTAAATGGTAACTACATTATTCATCTTATTTTTTGTACTAAATATGAGTATTATAAACTCAAACTGTTGCTCTCTTCTACTGCAACTTTTTGGAAGACATACACTATATATAGGGAATTCTTTTTATATAGTGTCTAGTATATTGTCACAAATAATTAGTGTTATGAGTAATACAGATGTTACTATGACAATAATAATGATTACAAGAATCTATAAAGGCATTTCTATAAGAGTTAAAAACTACTAGAGAAACCTGATAAATATGATTATACTTGTAGCACCCTTCTTAAGGAAGTTCTAAGAGGTTCCTATGATAGGTATAAGTAACCAGTGCCTCTTCTTTGTCCTTTCCTTCTTTCTATTTATTATTTGAAATCTGGGAGACTTTATGATCTAATTTTTGTCTTAGTCTAGGAGTTAATAGATTTGACTCTTTCTTTGATAAGTTCGTTCATTATAGACAGAGAAAGAGAAAAAGACAGGCACCTTCCACAGAGTCCCAAGCTACACTCTCCCCTTCCCCCCAGAAGTCTTCCCAGTTATCCAGGATCACTGGCATGCATGCCTGTCCCTGGTGCATACAAGTCAACCTGGAAACTGAATCCAATCTTCCTTATGGCTTCTAGCATTACAGTGTTGAGCCACCACAGTACCACTTCAACTGGGTCCATAGACTTGACATTTTCTTCTTGCTATAGGGTACAGGGGCTTGGTAGAGAGAGACAGAGACAGAAAGAGAAAAGTGAGAAATCACCACCCGGGGGTTTAGCCACACCATAATCCCTTCTCCTCCAGTCTCCTCTTGGAATTTTGGGCACACATGCACACATGCTTGGCATGCTTTTCAAGCCACTCAGTCCAGGACTCAAAGTACATAGCTGGCCATGTGGAATCCAGCACCTTAACCTCCTCACTACCTGCTGGCCCTGTAGACTTGACTCTTAATTTGTATAGTGTTAGCATGACAACGAATTTGTTCTGTGACCTTGGGTGAATCATAAAATATCTCTGAGTTCATGAGTGGATTTGATTAAATGATCCATAAGGCTTCTTCCAACTCCAAACGTGTTTTCAATTTTGTGCTCTTAGAGTCTTCTCTATCACAATGAAGAAAGAAGTGCAATTTTTTTGACTAATTGGTGACCGAGTGTGCATAGATGACATGTTTATATAACTTACATAATCATGGCCAAATCCAACCATTTCTAGTCAGATGTGACAGCACTAACATCAATTTCAGATGTGTGGTGGATCTGAGGTGTCAGAGTTCTTGCTGCATATCTTGGCATAGAGACAAGTATTATCTGTCTTGAGCTGACTCCACTGTCTGGTCTGGCCCAGATGGGCTCTGGTAATAGAGATATGGAGCTAGCTTATGAATTTCTTGTAACTCTGATTCCTTTATGTGCTTGTAGTGAATAAAATTCATGATGATCTTTAAAATATGTTTTTGATATTCATGATAACAGTTTCTGGGTTTGCAGCATCTCTGATCATTTGTCTCAGTGAGCTCTAGGTGGTAAGAATTATTTGATATTCAGAAGGTCTAGGTTCAAGTGGAAAAGTTGCAACTTGCATGGATATAAGAAATATTTTAGTTTCCTTTTGTCTTGTAAAATTATCTTTTTTTGAGAGTTTTTTTTTTTTACAGGGCGCGTGCGCTCGCCAGACAGACAAAGAGAGACAGAGAGACAGAAAGCAAGAAATCACCCCCCAGGGGGGATGGCCATGCCGCAATCCCTTCTCCTCCATTCTTCTCTCAGGATCTTGGACACACACGCACACATGCCTGGTGTGAGTTTAAGCCACCGGGCCTGGGATGCGAACCGCAGTCGACTACGTGGGAGTCCAGCGACATAGCCATTACGCTAACTACTGGTCCCTTTGACTAAGGCAGGTGTGCATACATGTGTGCATGCACACATTCAGGAAACACTGAGAGAACTGGACTGTGGGTAAAAGGGCAGTGTCATAAATTGGAGCTGGCTCTAGTGCTCAAAGAACTCTCAATCTAAAGCAAGCAATGAGACATGCATTCAAAGGACTAGAATATAAACTAGCTGGTGATTGGAGTCATAGAAAAGGGATGGAGAGAAGTCTCTGAATGGCCCAAGGAGGACTAAAGCACTTCTGGTTGCAGACATCAGGCACTTTTCCTTGTGGAAGAGGCATTTGTTGAGATTGCCCTTAATAAAAAGCAAGTTTAAAAATTAAGAGAAGTGGATAAACCAATTGCTGTCCATACAATGCAATATTATGCAGCCTTAAAAAGGAAGGAAATACTGTTTTGTGCTTCAGTATTCATTTAGAAATGAAGTCTTATTTATTGATGCATTGGTGAATGAGTGTGCAGAGATGACAAATTTATATAACTCACATGAATGTGGCTGTAACCATATAAACCTGGGTGACGTTATGCTAACTGAAACAAGCCAGACAGTAAAGGAAACAAATGCCATAGAATTCAATTTCTATGAGTCCCTTGGAATAGTTACATTCATAGAGACAGAAAGTAGAATGACGGTTGCCACAAGCTAGAATGAGAGGGGAAAAGGGACATATTGTTTAATAGGTACACAGTTTCAGTTTTGCAAGATGAAAAGGGTCCTGGAATTTGGTTGCACAATAATGTGAATATGTAACATTACTGAATTGTGCATTTAAAATGGTTAAGATGGTACATTTTTATGTGTACAACTTTTTAAACTTTTAGATTAGATAAAGATGGTAAATAGGATAAATTATCCTACGGTGGAAAAAAGAAAATGAAGAGCAGCTTTTTTGAAATCTAAGACTCCACATGAACCCAATCAGGAACATGAAGAAAGTGGGACTGTTCAGTTTGGTTGAAGCCAAGGTTCATTCCTGGAAAGGAATAGTCAGAGATGGCAGAAAGCTAAAGCCATATTATGGAAGGACCTGGTTGCCAGCACAGGAGGTCAGCCTTGAGTTTGAGTGCAGAACAGTGAAAAACCTGGAGCTTTGTTGAATAAGTTCAGGCTGGTAGATAGCAGATTGAGGGTAGATGGAGAATCTAGCTCAGAAGCTGAAAGTCAAGCAGGGGACTGTTAATTTCAGTGAGAAGCCAGGAGAGCCCATGTTTTGCAGCTTCATAGAACAAGGAGACAAATCTGAGAGATGTTATGGATATATAGTGAATAAAAGTTTAGAGTTAATTAGATAAGAGTAATGGAAAAGGAGAAATTAAAGATGAAATAGAACAAAAACTATCATCTTTTCAAAACTATTTTTAGAAAAATACAATTTTTTAAGATAAAATAATTGATAAAACTTCAATATATAAACCTAACTAAAGTATAGCAGCTCAGATGGAAGGTGAGTTGGGCAGTCCCTACTCTCCACTTACAGTGCCCCAGTCTGGGAACAACCATAGTACCCTGTGGAACTGTGCCAAATTCAATTTGAAAACTCCTTGCTGACCTGGAGAACTCCAGCCTTGATGACAGGGAAGACCATCCTGCCATTAACAGAAAGAGAAAACTGGTTCAGTTATTGGTCTGTTTTTAGATAAATTGAAGGTGCTAATGACCCATCTTGGTGGAACTATCTGGAGGTAGTCACTGCAGGCTTGGAGCTTTGGAGACAGGGTCAGGTGTAGGTTTCCATTAGGGAGTTATCTGCTTATTGTTGACTCTATGACAACATATACAGGATTGACAAATCTGATCAAGGAAGAAGAAAGCTGCACACCAACCTTAGGGAGATACCACCCTGGAAAAGAAGGAGGAGGAAAGAGGCACCAGGGGAAGTATAGCCAGTGGTAGAGCAGTTAGAGTTGTTCCACAGTTAATAGGTGGGAAGGATAGTCTGCCATGGCAACATCGTCACATAATTACAAACCCAACCATCTACTTTCTTCTTCTGGACCCCATCTTTCTCTTCAGCGAAGAGTGAAGGCTCTTTAGTCTCTTATCCATGTGATTTTTGACCTACTCAAAATAAGGTTTCACCATCCCAAAACTTCATAGCATTCACTCAACCAGAAACCAGTCAAGTGCCTCTCATGATCAAAAAGGCTACTTTAGCCTCTGTTCAGCCAGGGCACTGATTATTGCCCTGCAGTACAGAGAATGATTTTGTGGTATTTTGCTAGATTGTATTCAGTATTTTGCAGAGTGACCTGAGGACTTTACTTACACTAAAGTTTCAGTGCTTTTACCCTTATCAAAAATATCTACATCAGGGTCAAGGACTGTATTCAGATAGTCTTTTCCTCTCTCTAGTCCTCTCTCCCACTCTGCTTCTTTGTCTCTCTCTCTCTCACTCGCTCTCTTTCTTTTTCTCCTACTTTTTCCCCTTCTTCCTCCTCCATCTTGTCTTCCTCTCTGAATCCTTCCTCCCTCTCCCCTCTCACATATGCCATTGGCTGTCTTAATGGGGTGATGGGATTATGTAATCCCAGCACTTAATTGGTTTGGTGTTTGATGTCATCATAGAAGAAGAGCTAGTTGGGTCATGGTGTTAACAAAATATACCAGGGTCACCGGTTAATCCTCAATCTGTGTGCATTTTCTTTTTCTTTTCCCTGTTTCCTAGTATGCTTGATGTTCAAAGCATTTATGAAAAGATGTTTTAAAAAGCTAGACCTAATGAAAGCTATTTGTCCTCCTTTTGTCCAGGAGGGAGACACTCCAAAAAAGGCAACCACTGCCACTGTCACTGTCACCAACACTGCTATTGCCACTGTCACTGCTACTGCCATAGTCACCGCCACTGTCACAGCTACCACCACCGCCACGGCCACCACCACACCCACTACCACTACCATTTCCACCATCACCTCTACCATCACTACTGGCCTTATGGACAGCAGTCACCTGGAGATGACATCCTGGGCCGCCCTGCCCCTTCTGTCCAGCAGCAGCACTAATGTCCGGAGACCCAAGCTCACTTTTGATGACTCGTATGTTGTCCTCAGATTATTATGGACATATGGGGTGGGTTGGGGGGGGGGGGCGGGTAGTATGACTTTTCTAGTACCATGCATGTGTCTTAACAGTTAAGATCTCAGCATCAGTTCCTGTGCCTTAAGAGTATACCTTCACCCATCCTCCAAACACACACACACACACACACACACACACACCTCTGTATGCACCAAGAAATGTCTTGGGTCCATTTTAATCATGGAGCTTTGTCACTGTTTCCAAAGGCAAGTTTCTACTTCAAGGTTATTTGTTCTCTATTCTCCATGGCCTCAGCTATAACTGACCAATACATAGATTTCTAGCTAGGTTTCCCTTGATCCATTTGGACAACTCTAATGTTGGATGTGGATATTTATCTTAATGGGCCATTGTGCATGTCAGATTTCATTTACAATACTATTTCAAGGTTGGTTATGATATGAATGACAGCATTAGTATGCCCTTTTCAAGGCATTTTATAGGAATGAATTTATAGCAAACAATTTTTGACTATTCAATCTTTCAATGAAAAGATTAAACGGTGGTTTCTGAAAGCACTCATTTTGTTTGTTTAGGGTTCACAACGCTGATTATTACATGCAAGAGGCTAAGAAACTGAAGCACAAAGCTGATGCACTGGTAGGTTTTTGTCCTCTCATTACTTTGCTCTCATTAAGGTATTATGCTTTGAAAAAAAAGAAAAAAGGTCCTTTACTTACAAGTCAGACCTTTAGTAGTATAGCCCAGATCTGCTTTGCAATTCATTTTTGTTCTGACATAGGGAGATTGGAACTGTTTAATTTCCTTAGCACCATAATTCTCAAAATTCTTCAAGCCTTGTTGTCCTGTCATTATTCATTTTCCTACTATTCTTCCCCTTGCCCCAACTTCAGAAGCTCAATGGCATATATCATTATTGTTATATTTTAAGTAAATTTGAAATGACTTTTTAAACTGCTCTAGAGATGATGGGAGCTCCCATTGGGTCTGGTAAACCAAAACTGGTGAGAGGAGGGGGAGAGTTCTTGAGAGCTGCCTTAAGTATCCTCAAAAACTGGCTTTGGGAAACTTGAGTCTGTAGAAAACAAATCAGCTTCTTGCTGCATTTGATTACATATTTCTAGAGTGAGGCCCACCCCTGGGCTGGGACCCTGAGCAGGAGGTGCTGTCATTTAGTTTTCCTAAGACACTTTGTTCAGTTGCTTCCAAAGGTTTTGTCCACCTGAACCAATAAAGAAATCCACATGTTGAGTTATTTGACTTGATTGAACTCCCTGTGGGTCTTAACCACATGTTACAATCATTTGGGAAGCTTTAAAATGACCCTAATGCCCAGGTCATACTCCAGACCAATGAAATAGGAATTTCTAGGGCAAGAACCCAGGCATAGGTATTAAAGATCCCCAAGTGAGTCTCAAGTTCAGGCATTTTAGAACCAATGTCCTAGAGAAGGCCCTAAATTCAGACTCCTCATGTTTTAACTAAACCCCAGAATAATTAGAAGTATCAGTTCAACTCTACTGTGTTGAGAAACAGGGTCCTCTACCATTGGATTGTGTCCCACGATGGGTTATACTAGGAAGGCTGTGACAGATGATCACAAATCTCTGCATGATGACTAGTGTGTCACCAGCATCAACTGCCCATGGCCCTACATCAGCCACTTCCCTACTTTCTGTCATTTCCCTTCTGTGGTTCAAACTACTCAGCTATTGTCGGCAGCTAACCTTCCTGTGATAAAAATCGTCCCTTGGAAACAATTTCCTCTTGCTCCTGAAGACAAAACGACAAAGTAGGCTGGGTGCTAGTTCCACTGGAGATGCCAGAAAGACTGCCTATGACCATTTTCTGGGTGGCAGGAGATTTTTTAAAAGGCACCTGGTAGCATTGCTGCTGACTTGGAGACCAAACTTTTTCTAAATGTTCTTACCTTTCCAGCACTGCAGAAGGGTTCTAGAGTTTGTCCTCTATCAAAATACAGATAAGGGAGCACATAGATGTTCCTTTGATAAGCCACTATGTGAGCTGATGAAGACTAGGCTATGAGACCATGAAGGTTAAATGTTTGAAGAACTGAGAAAACGCAGCCACAGAGCTACTTACAAATGATTAAGATCATTCTACCTTCCATGGCTATAGTTATATGTATCCCAAATCACTTTTGGCCTAATATGTTTAGAGGATGATTCCTTAATTGGGAGAAATACTTCCCCCATGGAAGCAAAAATTCATTCTTGGAGTGAGGTGAGAAGTCCTAGATAGTGAAGTGTGGCCCTCCAAAAGGCTATATAGTACGTAAAGAGATAATCAGTTTATTTTGTGGTATTAAAATTTGGGAGTATATGAAAAAATATCTTTAAAAGCTCTTTGAGGGGTTATAATAATGAAAAAAAAAGTTTGAAAAACATTCAGAGGAATCATATTTTTGCTAGGCTTGTTTCTCTACCAGTTATGGAAGCACCCTTGTATTAATAGTTCAAGCTCCTCATTTTATGAATGGGAAAACTGAGGTCCAGGATGGGGCATGCCTTGGTCATTAATTGGCACTATGGTTAGGTAATCTTCTCTCTGGACTTCAATTTCTCCTCCTTCAGAAGAAGAGATTTAGACTAGATGATCTTTTTTTTTTTGGAGAGGTTTTTGTGATAGGGCACGTGCTCGCCAGACAGACAGAGAGAGACATAGAGACAGAAAGCGAGAAATCACCCCCCAGGGGGGATGGTTATGCCACAATCCCTTCTCCTCCATTCTCCTCTCGGGATCTTGGGCACGCACACACACACATGCACGGCGTGAGTTTTAAGCCACCGGGTCCGGGACGCAAACCGCAGTCGACTACATGGGAGTCCAGCGACATAGCCATTACACTAACTGCTGGTCCCTAGACTAGATGATCTTTAAGTATCTTTCCAACTATGAGTTTGTGCATGAAAAGACACTGTCAGGCAAGCCAGTAGCATAGTGGTTAAGGCTACTAGATCTCACATGACCTACTGTGCAGTTCAAGTCCTAGATCCAGGAGCTTGAGAAGCACATCAGGCACATGTACATGCATGCCCCAAATCCCAAAAGGAGGCAGAGATGCAGAAGAAATTATGGCATGACCATCCCCCATGACAGGTGCTTTCTTGCTTTCTCTCTCTGTCTGTCTCTCTGTCTCTCTCTCTAGTAAGTGCACATGCCCTCTGGCAATTTAAAAAAAAATGAAAAAGAATTGACACTGTGAAAAATCAGGATGTAAATATTAATTTCCAAATGGGAGACCCAGGTGGGGCCAGATGACCTAAGGAAATTATCCTGTAAAGCAAGAGAGGAAAGCGACAGTTGGCATACACATACACGGGTTTTCATAAAATCACTTGGAATTTGGTTGAACCTGACGTTTCTCCACAATAGCTTGCAAAAGGGGAACCACAGAATTCTTCAGTACATAGGAGCTGAAGAACTTTGCTTATAAAGAGAATCATTTACAATAAGAGATTCTGTAGGACCTATAACCAATCATTTTACAGTTGCACTTAATCCCTTGCTAAAGACAGCTACTCTGCCATTTTGAGAATTGAAACATGCAGACTTGCATAGAAAATATTTTGATAAAAGGTATACAAGAAAATTAAAACAGCTAAATCTGCATTATATTGGTTCTTTTACATAAAATACCATATTAATGGAATTATTACATCCAGCTATCAAAAATTGAAAATGTTAAATCCTGTTATAAAATGCTCACTATAAAAGTGTCGTATATAATATTCATTACACATAAAAAAGAAATCAGTATGTCTAAGTCAGTTTAATCGTGACCATTATCAGGGCTAAAACCTTTTGTAATAAAATTTTACTAAACTAAAATATTCAGTAGTGCTATATTTTTTGGCTTTTGACACTTATTTCAAGCCATCATTTACCATGAAAGTGATGTGATTATTGTCAACAGTCACACTACAGCTTCACATTTTTCATGACAATGGCATCAATTTGTGACTTGCCTCCTGGGGGTGGAGTTAGTGTGCTCACAAAGAGCTTGAAAGCAAAGACTGTATGTGCTCCTTGTCCACAGGCATATAAAAAGCAGAGCTTAGTCATAAGCACAGTCCAGTACAATGACCAGTCAGTTTAGTAAAGGTAGTGTTTAGAAACTATTTGAGGCATGAACTTGAGATTCTGATCCAGCAAAAAGAAAGGGTAACATCCACAGTGATGTCGCACATCACACAGGGTTCCTTGGCTGCGTTTCTCTCTTCCCAATCAGCCCCAGTGTCAGGAGGATAGAGCCTTGTACCGGTAACTACACTGTCAATACCAGCCCATGCATCGTCCTCTCTGTGGCGCAATTTCTCAGCCTAGGCACTACTGGGCCTGGCTCATTCTCAAGCGTGCATTGCAGGATGTTTAGCAGCGTCCCTGGCCTCTGCTCAGCTAATACCCCCTTCTCTACAATGGTGACAATCCAAAGTGTCTCCAGATGCTGCCAAATGTTCCCTGGGGGGAGGGAGCAAAATTGCCCCCAGCTGTGAATTATTCCTTCCTATGAAGGCAGAAAGAAAGAGCAGCATGTTCATACACCATCTTCCTGTTCCAGTTCGAGAAATTTGGCAAGGCTGTGAATTACGCCGATGCTGCACTCTCCTTCACTGAGTGCGGTAATGCGATGGAGCGAGACCCTCTGGAAGCAAAGTCCCCGTACACCATGTACTCTGAGACTGTGGAGCTCCTCAGGTAAGTGGCCTTTCTGTACTCATCTCCCTGAGCTGATCACTGTTAGAAGCTGCTGTGTTTTAAAAGTATATAATTACCACATACGAATGATTTGTCCAAGGCATCTTCTTAGAAGTATTCATAATTAGTTCTTGCCATTTTATTAATATCATGGAAAATGTATAACTGATGGACACTGCTTTTATAAATTATTCCCTTCAGAGATTATAATGTGAGTGTTATAATTTGTAATGTTCATAAAATTAAAATGAAAACAGAGTGGGTGGAAATAAAGTATAATCATTTCACCATTTGACATCAACCTGGCTTTTCAAAGGTGCAGTTTTATAATTCAAAGAAAAGTGGTGCTCCCAGGATTTCTATTACAAACCATGTTTTCTAAGAATTTCTTAGTTATTAAAATGGAGGGGCCCTGTTCAAATTCCAAGTTGGCATTTAAGGCCGCAGGTGTGAAGTAGACATTTCCACGCATTTGGAATCAGGGAAGCAGATGAGGTGGTAGCAGGCCATGAAGGTAGAGATGAGAGGATGAGAATAAGAGAGGTATATTAACTGCACACATTACTGGGTTCATTTACATTTTAAATAAAAAGTTCTGGCCTATTGGTTCTGATAGAGTAAATTTTTGGATTATCAAAAAATTCCTAGAATAAGAGGAAGAAAGGATAGGATAAGAAGAAATACCTATTCTGGTGTTTTCCAGTGATTTACTAAAGTATAATCATTTCACCATTTGACATCAACCTGGCTTTTCAAAGGTGCAGTTTTATAATTCAAAGAAAAGTGGTGCTCCCAGGATTTCTATTACAAACCATGTTTTCTAAGAATTTCTTAGTTATTAAAATGGAGGGGCCCTGTTCAAATTCCAAGTTGGCATTTAAGGCCGCAGGTGTGAAGTAGACATTTCCACGCATTTGGAATCAGGGAAGCAGATGAGGTGGTAGCAGGCCATGAAGGTAGAGATGAGAGGATGAGAATAAGAGAGGTATATTAACTGCACACATTACTGGGTTCATTTACATTTTAAATAAAAAGTTCTGGCCTATTGGTTCTGATAGAGTAAATTTTTGTATTATCAAAAAATTGCTAGAATAAGAGGAAGAAAGGATAGGATAAGAAGAAATACCTACTCTGGTGTTTTCCAGTGATTTACAGACCTTGGTAAAATAATATAATTCACCACTGAATAATGGGTAAGCATCATCATTCACTGAATGAACTAAATAATTGCTCAGGATTGAGTGAGCAGCTCCTTACCTGACTGGCTCTTATATCCCAGTCCCCTCTGGCTCCATTCATCAATAATACCAGGACTGGTTTTGGTTTTTACTACCTTGCTTGTATTTGCATGAACTGTTACAAATCTCAGTATATTTATAGCTAAACCTTCAGACAAACAGTGGACAAACTTAACCTGCATATTTTCCTAGTGGAACATTTAAAAAAATCAAAAAAAGAGAACATTTTTAAAAGAATTATTTTATTTTAACTTTATTATTATTTTCCAATTTGACCAGAGAGAGACAGAGAGAGAGAAAGAAAAGAAGCCACCATGTCTAGGACTTGAACCATGGTTGGACATGTGGGAGTCCAGGACCTTTAACTACCACACCACCTACCAGCCCCAGAAAGAAAACTTATTTTGAAAAGAAAAGAAAAGAAAAGAAAAGAAAAGAAAAGAAAAGAAAAGAAAAGAAAAGAAGGTTTGGGGCCTGCATGTGGCCTAGTGGTTAAGGAAGCCAGATTCCATAAGGCCAACTGCACAGTTTGATGCCAGGTTCATATGCATACATGCCCAAAATCCTGAAAGAAGGGAGAAATTGAGGAGAAGGGGTTGTGGGTTGACCATGCCCCATGGAGAGTGCTTTCTCATTTTCTCTCTCTTTCTCTGGCAAGAACATGCAACCTCTGGTAGAATTTAAAGTAAAAAAAAAATCTGTTTAAATATAATCAGAAATTTAATTAGAGCTGTAAAAGCAGGGGAGTTCTTAGGAAAGCACCAGCCTTGCCTGCCAGGCTAGTCAGCCATTTCTCTCTGCATGCTGCTCTAAAATGTAGGCACCAGAGAAGAGTGCAAAGTATTTCTCTTCTATTTATGCACTGTGGAAGCCACACCACCATTCTATAGCTTTCAAAGCAAAGGTGATTTTTTCTCATTTTCAAAGATGCATAAGAACATTCTGACAAAAATGATAAAGATTCAAAATTGAGAAACTTAATGAATAAGAATAGAGACACTCTCTATTTATTAAAAAATGCAAATTAAACCAAGGAACTTTTTAAATTAACAAGAAAATGTAACAATGTTAGTAGTAAAAAAGAAAATAGATTGTGGTGGGGCCAGCAGGTGGTGTAGTAGTTAAGGAGCTAGACTTCCATGTGGCCAACCATAGTTCAAGGCCCAGACCTAGCAGTTTGAAACTCACACCAGGTACATGTGTGTGCATGCCCAAAATCCTGAGAAGTGAATAGAAGAGAAGAGATTACAGTATGGCTGTGCCTGGGTGGGTGTTGGGGTGATTTCTCGCTTTCTATCTCTCTCTCCAGAGAGCATATGTGCCCTATCACAAAAATTCTCTCAAAAAATAAAAAAAGATTGTGGTGATCTAGGCCTCTCCTACAGTATTGCTGGGAGTGAAAATTGATCATTGTACATTTGGCATTGGAAAGGCCATGCAAATGAGCCAGTACTTCATATTTTTTGATCCAGTTCTTCAACTTCTGGAAATCTAAATTTCCTCTACTGAAGAAAAATCATCGTGGAAGTAAAATAAATTATCTGTTTGGTGTTTAATTTGATTATATAACTTATTTATAAATATAATTGCACATAAAAAGCAAACCAAATAATTGGTTATAGAAGAATAATTATATCATAGAATACTGTGCATTAACAAAATACTTTGCAGCCATTGAAATGCAATTATGATGGAAACCATGCAGTCACATAAAATTGTTTATAACGTGATGTTACAGTAAAATCAAACTGTAGAATTAAATGCATACACACTACAGTTATGACCAAGAAAAGTATGTATTACATCTGAACCAAACTGAAAGGGAAATGAGATCATAACTGTAATGGAGTGGTTGGGGTAAGATTATGAGTGTTTTCCCTTTCTCTATGTATTTTTTTCTTATTAGTTTGATTTTAGGAAAACACATGCTCTCTTAAAACTATAAAAGCAAAATACAAAATCTTATTTTATGGTAAAAGTGTGATGTGAATAGTAAAGTAATATTTACTTTCATTAGAAAAGATTTCTTTTCACTTATGTGTTTACCCCCCAAAATGTTCTTTTTTTCTAAGCATGATTTGTTTCTCATTGTGTAGTATACTCTCGATAGAAGTGAATTTCAGTAGAACCTGGTGAAAGGCATCAGAGAACTTATGGGCATGTACTTGAAAGTCAATATTTTTACATTTTATTTCGAGGTAATTGTAGAGTCACAGGCAATTATAATAAATAATTTAGAGAATTTCTGTGTACCCTTCATCCAGTTTCCCCCAGTAGTAGCATCTTGCATAACCGCAGTTTAATATAAGCAATACACTGACATTGACACAATCCAAGGACTTGTTTCAAATTTTACCAGCTTTTATTTTTTTAGATGTCACCATTTGCGTGTCTTCTGTCTATATATTTTATATTTTATACAAATTGTGTATGTGTATAATTTTTTCTAATGAGAGAAATTTCATCAAGAATAAAATGAGTTATTAAAGCAACTAGGTCTTCTGGTCTATTTAATCAGTTGAAACTCCACTATCAAGTCACTTCAAGTATGGTTGCAATTAGATGATGCCTGTAATGTGAACATAGTTTTTAATACTGCAATATTATGTTGAAGAGAGTTTTATTACTCTCTCCCCAACAGTATGCTGGCTGCAGATAGAGAGCCCCATTTCCTTCATTCAAGTAATTATAGTTGCTCTGAGCCCTGGGAATCTATAATAGAAATGCATTGGTGAAAACAAGTGGGATCATCACAATGACTTGACATTCTGTGATCCAATTGTCAAAGAAAGTTAGATTTATTACATAATAAAAATCCCTTTGCTTGATATTGCAACAATAGAAGGGACCCACATTAACTGCACAAGTCCCTTGGTTGGAACATATTCACCCAACAGAACTGGTGCAATAACCATAACAGGAGGCATCTAGAATGCTGAGGAGGCCTGGAGTCTTAAGGGAGAAGCCTGGAGTCCCTAGTGTTCTGGGAGGCTGCTGAAAAATGAGGAGCTGCCTTCTGGTAAATGAAAACCAGTCCAGGCTGCCTGCACACTTGCAACTTCTCTGCCACACTGAATTCCATCACTTATTATACTACAAGTACCTGTGAAATTGCATTAAAGCTCAGACAATGATTTTATGCAATGAATTGATTTTCAAGAGTCTAAATGCCCAGAATGGAATGTGCTCAGCTAGAAGAAAAAAAATGGGAACTACTCAACCTTTTATCACTCTGGTGTGGAACAGTAACAATTAAAGAGAATTGAAAGACAAAATATACAAGCACCATAAATTAAGGATGCTTAGACCTTAAAATGGTGTGAAATCGACCTTCCTTTAAAAAAAAAAAAAACACTTTTTATAGGAATATATTCAAAACCTGAGCCATTAGAAAGGACCTTTTAACTGTATGATTGAGGCCTTATGCTCATGTTGGACACAGTCGTTTATTATTTACCTCATCTGTCATAAACTGAACCGAGACTGACATTTTTGTCCACCTCTCATTGAAAACCAATAATGTAATTTAGCTAGAGTTTTCCTAGGAACAGCCTTTTACTGGCATTTATACACACACACAGACTAACAGTCATTACAAAGCCTTGTCCTAAAATGTGGGCTCATGATTTAGCTTACTTCTCCGGAGCTAGATTGTATGCATCTCGTCAGTTCTGTTGTGCTGTTATGATCATGTTCTCAGGAAAGCATGCATTTGCCCAAATGTATCAGTCAGTCCTCCCACCCAGAGCCAATGTGGAACTAACTGATCAGATTACCAATGACTCTAGGAATTCCTGAAGGGTAATAAGATTCCACTTTAGCTTTTCCTTTCTCTTCAAAGGTATGCAATGAGACTGAAGAACTTTGCAAGCCCCCTGGCTTCCGACGGGGACAAAAAGCTAGCAGTGCTATGGTAAGTTCAAGGAGGCCACAAGAGAACAACTGAAATGTCACAGAAGGATTGGAAATCTCCAACTTAAGCTGCTTACCCCAGATCATTATTCTTGTTTTCCATTAAACTATTAAAGAATAACTAATGGATTTCTTCAGTTGCTGAATAAATATTTACTCTCCTAATTTATACCCTTATCAAAATGGGATTTTAATGCTTCCCCCTTCCCTTTTTAAAAATTTCTTCATTTTCTTATGTTCTTCCATCTGACCATAGGAGAGAAACTGCAAAGTATGAATCAGCATTTTTTTACATTAAGCACTGGCATGAACATAATCCTTTCCTCCTCACCACAGCTACCGATGTTTATCACTTCTCTACTTGAGGATGTTTAAACTGAAGAAGGACCATGCCATGAAGTACTCCAGATCATTGATGGAATATTTTAAGGTAATCCATCCTTTTTATAATGTATAGGTACAGGGTGATAAAATCACTAATGGGATGTGGCAGGCATGCTATTAAGTGTCAGATAACAAAGACAAGGTTGTTGTTGCCAAAGACTACTCTCGTCTCGGCTGGCAGTGGCTCTCCCACCCCCTTCTTTGGAGGTCCACAGAGACCTGACCTCTTACTTGAATCCAGAGAGAAAAGGTGCAGCAGTACAATCCCCTGATAATTTTCTGGACTATCCAAATGGCCTTTGAAAGCTCCCTGGTTGCAGTTAGGAGGATGCTGCCTCATCTGGAGTAGGGGCACAGCTTGAGGCTGCAGGCATGGCTGGTCTCTTGTTCAGCAAGAGGTCAGCTCAAGAATTGTTCAATAGTGAGAAATACCACTGTGGTCATCCTGGTTCTGGATGGACATCCACACCCCTGGAAGCCCTTTGGACATGGGGAATCTTGGAGTATAGTGGTTGAGATTTAAGATGACTGCCTTAATTATCCAAACAAACAAGCACATAAAGTCATTGTCTAGGAGTTAGAGTTTTAATTTGCAAGCAAAAAGAGAAAAGAAAGATGAGCAATCACAAAATACAATGCCTCAATTTGAGAATGAACCTAGATAAAAATTATAAGCAGTAGTTTGGTACTAGGCCTAGCCACTGCACCCTCCAATGCCACTTCTGCCCTCTGACA